TAGTAAGGCCCTTGTTACTAGTAGCGATGCACTTGTTCCTAGTAGCTTATTGTTTCTAATTACTTTTAATTCTCTAATTCTTGTTACTAGTAGTAAGGCCCTTGCTCCTAGTAGCGATGCCCTTTGCTACTAGTAGCGTCCTTGCTCCTACTTGCCAATTGGTTTAGACGAGTCGAGTCCAGCTCCTGCAGCAGCATGCCCGGGAAAATACCAAGGCTGATATCGAGGGTCTGGTTTTCCATCTAGGTGAGCGTTCGGTTGGAAGACCGAACCACCTCAGTTGCCCCAGGCCATCTTCCCACCACCAACACATGCAATCACATGCAGGGAGCCAACTTGAAGCCGCGTGTCATGCAAACAAGACACCGCGCAGGATGGCTGAGCGAGTGTGCTCATCCCGGTAAGTTTCCTAGGATTCAAGTTTTCAAGGGTGAACACTTTGCCTTCCAGTGTGACAGTAAAGCTGTATTTGAGCACAAGCATCTGCCATCCATTGCCACACCAAGCCTACCAAATCCTCAACACCATCTTTGCTAGCGCCTTGTGGGAAGCCCCCAACATCACCTCACTCGAATCAACACTCAACTGTGAAGTCGAAAGCGGTTTCAAGCAGTTCTTGCTCCGTGTTCTTCAAATCAAGGCCGAGGCCTTGAAATGCCGCTTCCAGCAAACAAATCCCTCCATTTTGTGGCAGATTGGAGGAGCATCAATCCAATTGTCTGCTTCTCTTACCTTTTCACACGTAGCTTGGAGGCTTGTGGTCTTTTAGATCCTTGTAGCCCTGTAGGGAGTACCACAAGCCGGACTCACTTCGTTCCAAGGAGCTCAGGTGAAAGACGCTGGCGTTCGCCAATGGCTGTGGCATTGCGCCTGGCCACCACCAGCGTCCCCAGGGATAGGATCGCTCAGGATCGCCACCCTCAGATCACAAGTCTTTACTAGAAGTCTTATTGTTACTACTAGTAAGGCACTTGTTTCTAATCGCTTCTTGTTTCTACTAGTAATGCACTAGA